CCAGCAAAAGACAACCTGCTCAGCTGGTTTGATGAAATATTTTTACAGTCATCTCCACTCCCTGAATGGCCATTGCAACTCTAATAACCTCATTCAAGACTTCCAAGGAACTCAATCCATGCTTTTGCTCCCAAAATATCCCTCATTAGAGTTTTCTTCTCACATAACTCAGATCTGTGAGAACACTTGGGGAAGGCTCAAGGAATAACCAGAATGAGCAAAAATGATTCAATAACCACCTAGTTAGTTCTAAATTCCTACCATGGTGCTCTAGCACAGAAGTGCTTTCTCTGAGGGGTGCTTTATTTGAGAAATGGGAAGTAACCCAAGGCCACATCCACATGTGATGACTCCAACACCCAGGCCATCTGACTCCTCTGCCGATCAATCTCTGGATTGCAAAGTCAACTACAAGGTGTTAATAAGGTAGAGTAACTCATAATGAATCTTTACACATTCCTTCAATATGTGCTTTCAACACCCCTACTGTGTGCCCAAATACCTCAGAAGTGCATCGTTCATCTTTTCACTTCGTGCTGGAGCCTCCTACACCATCCACAGTGCACCATGGGGACTGACATTTTCAGAAGCCCAGCACATTTCCCACTATTCACCTTCTTGTAACTTCGACTAATTTCTACTCACTGAAATGGATATAGGACTCGGGCCAGACATGACCAATCACAGTGATTGCTCCAAAGTTGGGCCTATGACTCAATCAAAGCCAATCATAGTCCTTCCCTGGGGTGCTCTCTTGCAGTCAGGGTTGGAGGAAGAAGGGTGTAGGGTCCAGAGGAATGGCAGCCATCTTTCCTACCATGGAAATGGAAAATGGAGACAGGCAGGGAAAAGCAGACAACCCTGCTTCCATCCTCAGAAGCAGTGGGTCCTCTAGCTCCTCCTCCAATTCTGTGAGCTACCTGTGAATTCTTCCTGACTACATGAACCATACATTCCTCCCTTACCAGTTTTAATGGGACTTGTCTCACTTTCCAGAAGAATTCTAATACCGCGTTCCCTGGCGCTGTCTCCCACGTGACGTCCTCCAGCTATAGGGACTCCTGTCCTATAAGCCTGCACCTCTGAGGCACTTCATCAGAATTATCTTTCTTAGGAGTCAAAATTTACGTCATAAGGCCTCCCACCCTGAGTCCTGGCTCCACCGCCAGACAACTGCAGTCTCAATCCAAAGACATTTTGGCTGACATTGTTTGTTTGTTTGTTTGTTTGTTCTGAGGCAGGGTCTTGCTATGCAGTTCAGGCTGGCCTTGAGCTCCCTAGATAGCCCAGGCTGGCCTCAAACTTGCAACAATCCTCCTGCCTCAGCCTCCTGGGTGCTGGAATCATAGGCATGCACCACACCCAGCTTGACATCTATTTAATACCCCTTTACAACCTGCCTGCCTCCCACCCCATTTGTCACATACACACACGCATGCATGTACACACATGCACACACAGACCACGGCTTCTTTTTGCTTGGATGAGCACCTGAGTTTCTTCTGTTATTCTACATTTGATATGTTACAATGCTGCACTGCATTCCAGCAAGGCTGGATCTAGGGGAACACGTGAGATGAGTCAGCAGGGCACTGTCTCTCCTTTCTTCGTTTTCCTGACTTCAGTGCTGGCCATGTTCACAGGCAACCTCTTCCCACATAGAAAATGTGGCCTTGACAGCTCAAGGCTCACACATCATCTCCACGGCTGATTATACCGATTTACATAAGGCAGCTCTTCCCTGATGCTGGGTGACTCACTCTCCCTGACCAATCACTGGCCAGAGGAGTCCCGAGCCCTCGTGGACAGGCCTGCTGCTTAGAAGAGGAAAGGGGTGGGCACTCCCTGTGCACCGGATGTTACCAGAAGGCTGGGAGGGGGGCATGGAGGAGGTAGAGAAAGAGTGGGCTTGAGAAGGGCGAGCTCCAGCACATGCCATCTGATACCATGGACTGCAGGCTTCCTCCCTCGTCCTCTGCGGGGTGGGCCCAGCTTCTTGGCATCACTCTTCAAGGGAAGCACTGGACTTGAACCCAGGGCAGGAGAGAGAGCACTTATCACGTTCTCTAATTTATTGACCTAAGCTAGACTCAAATTTCCCTTTTGCTTTTTGTTTGTTTTGTTGTTGTTTTGTTTGTTCAGATAGGGTTTCACTATGTAGTTCAGGCTGGCCTTGAACTTGCTATGTAGCCCAGACTGGTCTCAAACTCACTCCCAAATGTTTGGATTACAGGAGCATGCAACACACCTAGCTTACATTTTCCCTCTGGAAGTCACATCTCCCTTCCTCTTCCACCGGAGTCACAGTTGCCACACACATTTGCACACAGGGCACGCAGCACATACACACACACAAAGGCACATGGAGGTACAGGTACATATGCATTACTTATACAAATACACAAATATAAACATGCATACAGATATTCACAAGTGCACATACATACAGATATGCACACAAAAACACAGTGCATCTATATATACAAACCTGCACAGGTGTGCACACCCCACACACCCAGAGACACACAGATACTCAAGGACACATACACACACAAACACGTGCATGTGCAGAGACACTGGTGTTCATCACATGAGGTCCTGAGGACAAAAGAGCCCCTGATTTGCACATCTGGAATGAGAAATCAACCTCTCTCCCTCTCTCTCTCTCTCTCTCTCTCTCTCTCTCTCTCTCTCTCTCCCCGTCTCTGTGTGGTCCATTCTTATTGCAGATGGGAGCCTCAAGTTCAGACACCAAATGTGCATGCTGCATTCCTCATGCCTTCAGTGTTGGCACTGGCTTCCCATCACCATGGAAACAGTGCCGCCTCCAGCTCTTGCCATTCAAAAACTTTTGTGGCATTCAAAAATGTCAGGGTGATGTTGATATTTTCCAGGCAGGTGACCCTAATTCTGAACGAAGCTGGAAGGACTCCTTGATTGCAGAATGCAGTGACTTTGCCAGCCAGGCCCACGTGAGTCACCAGGGAAGGAAAAGGGCTCTGTCACCCCTGTGTCTTTGGATTCCTGACTTTTGATGCCTCAGCCCATCCTACCCATGGAAGAAAAAAATGATCCCCCAAAGGCAACATTCACCTTGCAGTTTTTATAGTAAGTGTCCCGCTTTACCTTCCTAGCATACGTCTGCAAAAATATGTAATAGAGTTCTGCTTGCTTCCATGTTCCTGGTCAGCTACAACACTTGATGCTACAAAATGAGCCTCATGAATAAAAACGTGACTTGATAACATGGTGGTTTTTGGGGGAATGGAGCCCTGAATCTCAGAGGGTAAACAACCAGCTGAAGGTCATAGAACAGAGTTAGGATTTAAACCCAAGGTCCTGAAATCCCTACTGCAAATCCTCCCACTCCATAACGTCCATCTTTTGACTGGGTAGTTGATGTTTTTAATCTTATGCAAGACTCTTAACTCTCTTTCCCTGTGTCCTTGAGATGCCCCACCCCAATCTACGCCCCACTCCTCCAACTGCCTCAGACCACTGAGTAATTTCCTGGGGCTGTGGTAACAAACTGTGCAGCCTCAACAACAGACACGTATTCTCCCGGAGCTCTGAAGTCAGGAGTCCCTGCCATCAGGACGTTGGCAAGGCCGCCCCTTCTGCAGGCTGTGAGGAGCTGTCTGCCCCATGACTTTCTCCAGGCTCCAGGTGGTTGGGCCATCTTTGATGCTCCTTGATGTGACGAAGCAGAGCCCTGATCTTGGCCTTCCTCTACACATGGTATTCTCGTGGCTCTGTGTCCAAATTTCCCTTTTTCATCTACGGCCATACCACCCTGAACGCCCCCGATCTTGTCCAAATTTCCCTTTTTCATAAGGACACAAGATATATTGGGGAAGGAGTGCACCTGGCTTTGGTATGACCTCGTCTTAAGTAATTCTGTCTGCAGAACTCCCTCTCCAAGTAAACCACAACAGAGGAACGGGGCTTAGGACTCCACATGGGGACTCTAGGGGACAGCTGGGGCCACAGCACTGTTACACAGTGCTCTCTCTCGCTTCCATGCCTTCCACACTCTGTCCCCTCTGCCCCCTCTGCCCTTCCTTCTAGTCCTCTATGGGGTCCTCCTCACTCTCAGGGATCTGGGTTGAGTGGTAACTCTCAGGCTTTCCCCTTCCTTCTCTGCGGCAGAGTGTGGGTGAGAAGACTGTGATCAGGGGGTCTGCACACATTCAGCATGAATTCACCCTCTTGTGCCTCAGGGCCCCCATGTGAAAAGCATAAGCAACAGTACCACCTATGCCAGTGGCTGACTGGTGTTCAGTGAATCACTACATTTAGAGCAGTGCCCAGCACATAGCAAGTGAAATTTAATAAAATATTTTGGATACCTGCTCCCCTAACTCCTCACAGGGGTGCCTGATATTCCCCAAGACCCTACCTCGGTGTCCCTTATTTCTAGCTCCTAAAAGCCCAGCACAAGGTCTCGCACATAGTGAGCCCTTGATGGAGGGGCTGAAAGGAGGGTTCTGCATCCTTCTCATTACCATCTGCCTGTCCTGACACACCCACCCCTACCCCAGAGGCCGTGGGCACCCGCTTCCCCCACTGAGGCACTGACAACTTCTCCCCAGCCTTGGGTCAGGTACAGATTTGATAAATCCCTGTGTGCTCCTTGACTGCATTAATTAAGGACCTCAGAACACAGTGTTAACAGGCAAGATCGGCCCCTGTCTGCCCGTATTCCCAAGACAACTAGGTTAGCACAGCCCACCACAGACAGGATTGCAAAGTGAAGGCTCTAGAAGGTCCCCAAGACTCTCCCAAGTCCTGCTAAGCCTCCTATTTCAGAGGCTGCACTTGTGTGTGTGGTCTCCCCGTGTTCGCCATGGGAGGAATCTGACTATGACGCAACCACCTGGGTCTGGTCTCATTGTGACACTGTAAGTCCTGTGACCTTGGGCAGGGGAATTGATCTCCTAGCCCTGCCATTCATTACAAAGGACCCTAAGCCAGGTGGCTTGAGAGAAATAGAAACTCACAATTCAAGGAGCTAGACGTCCAAGTTCAAGGTGTGGGCAGGGTTGGTTGCTCAGGAGGCTCTGTAGCTATTCCAGGCCTCACTCCTGGCTTCTCATGACTCCCGGAATCCCTAGCACTCCTTAGCTTATGGCCACATCACCCTGATATCTGCCCCATCTTCACACAGCCTTCTCTCTGTGTGTACGTATCTTTATAAAGTAAGTCCCCGACATACAGATATTCGAGTTGCGAACTGTCAGATAAAAATGGACCTCGCCATACCAACATTCATAGATGCAAATCTGCCCTGGAAGTAGCTCGGTGTCTGCCAGACTCTGGCACGGTTGTGCTGCTGTGTGCTCCGAGTACAGTACGACAGTTACTCACTGGAGACGGGAGGGGTTCCCAGAGACGGTGCAGATAAAGGATCATCCGCGATCGGAAATGGAGGGCGAGATGGACTTTCCCTCACACCTGATGCTGATGGCACAGGTTTTTTGGTGGATTCAACTCTGTCTACCCTCTCGAGAAAATGACCCAGTGATGTCTGAGCAGAAGCTCCTTTTTCTCATCATAGATGACCCTGCCCCATCTGCCCCCTCCAGTTAGGTTCTTCTTGTCAGCCCGCTCCCTGCAGTCCCCTCTACGCCAGCTGTTGTACTGTGCTGCCATGGTAAGGTAACTGTAAAAGTAAAAATCACTCATTTACAGTGTTTTGGTGTGATTGGTTTTTTAATGCTTTGCATTGTATATTTGTGTCAAAGGTGTATAAGACTCACTTTGTCAGACTCACAAGTGAATCCAGCTTACAAAAGTCCACCCAGCATGAGTTTGTCATAATTCAGGTACTTACGCATCCAAATCCCTGACCTTACTCTTACAGTAACACCAGCCTTAATATCAGGGCCCACCCTAACCCAGTGTGACCCCCATCTTAACCTGCTTACATCAGCAAGACCCTGTTTCCAAATAAGTCACATGCCCAGCTGCAGGGTGAGGACATGAATATAATTTGAGGGGATGGGACACAATTCAACCTACCCTACAGGCCACCATGTCCTGGACCTCCTCTTGTGTAGAGGGGACAATAGCACCCCTTGCTCTGGAAGATGCAGTGGGGTGGCCCATTTGAAGCGCTCATTCTTGAGACCATAGCAAGAAGGTACACGGTCCTGTCTGTCCCTGGCCTGGCCTGGGTCCCAGGATTCTTGGCAGCTGGCAAAGACCTTCTTGGGGCTGGAATCCAAAAGTGTTTTCTGGAAAGACCTGCCACGAATGGGGCCCAACTGGCAGCAGAGGGAAAGCCCCAGGAGCCCCTAAACTAAGGCTCCAGAGGACTTGGCCTTGAAGGCTGCAGAATCTCTAGTCATATGTAATGAGGCATGTTGGAACAGCTTGTACCCAAGGAGTCACCACAAGGCTCTGAGGGAGGAGAACAGTGACATTCTGGACCCCTGCTCTGAGTCAACACAAACACACACACACACACACACACATCCTCTTCCATAGCCCACGTTCTGCCAGCACTTCCCAGCCCCAGGTATGGTGTACTGCAAGCAATTGTGAGGTGTATTACCAAGTAATCTGTTGCTAATAATAAAGTAGTGCCACACGTTGCAAATCTATGTATGAGTAGACTCAAGGTTATTCCTGTGAAATATCACTGTCACTCCCTGCATTCTGATTAGGCTTCTCCAGTGGGAGAGCTACAGAGGAAAGGTACAGCTAGGGCAGGCATGGGGATGCATGCTTGTGTGACATCACAGTGACTTAACAGAAGGGACCCCTGCCCTGCATTCCCTGCCCTGTGAGATACACATGGAAATGTCTCCTGCTCTAACTGACACAGGTGTGTCCTGAGCCTTGGGCAGAGCCTGAGGGAGGGAAAGAAATATAAACAGCCGGTAAAGGCCAGGAGAACCATGAATGCCAATTAGAAAGAAGAGCCATGGATGTTCAGTAATCCCGTTGGCCACACATGCTGGGCTTGAGCCTATCAGGAATTGGCAAAGATGCAGAGGTGGAGAGACATGGGTCTGGGAGCTATGGCCTTCCTGACCTCAGCTCCTGCTACACGCTCCTGGCTCACTAGTGGGCTGTGTCTTCTGGGGTTCAGAAAGGAAGGCTGCCTGCATTAGGAATCCGCTCCCCAGCTTCCTAGCTCTATGAACTTGGCAAATTCTAGACACTTTCTGTGCCTCAGTTTCCTCATCTATAAAATGGAGATGATGATAATAATAATAATGCCCCGATGAAGACTAAATAAGGATTAATTAAGATAACGCACATAAAGCGCTAAGCACTGTGTTGGAGCAAAGTGTGTGCAGACAACAGGGCAGCCGTCATCACTGTCCTCATTGTCCTCGTGGTTGTCATCGTCATCACTGTGGTTATGGGCACCACTGCTATTTCAGATGCACCAACAGGGTCTCTTCCCTTCCCATGACATGTGCCAGTGCGCCAAGATTTAGTGTTTTTGACATGACACTTGTTGTTCTGCTATGGATAGAGTTGTGGGACATTTTCACTCTGTTATTTATGTGGGTAAAGCAAGTGTCACTGTTAGTTACATAGACAAGACCAGGCACTTACTCTGTTATTTTTAAGCAAGTGTTTCTGGGTGTTCTGGTGTGGTTAGAAGATGTGTCTATTTACTCCTCACAGTCCCTACAGATCTGGAATGTTTGGGTTGGTTACATATGCTTGGCATGTGTCCTCAGCATATGCAGTGACACAGTCTTAGAAGAACCTGGTGAAGACTGAAGACACAGCTAGAGTCACCCCCTGTCCCATTTTGCCAGGGACTTGAGAGCGCCTCTATGTAGGGCTCTCAACTGAGAAAGACTCAGATAGAGCAAGACGAGCCGGTCACTCCACACAGCCCAGGCCAGTGTATCCCAGACACCATCTATCCCCACCCTAGGAGCCCAAGCGCTTAGGAACACATGCCCTGGAGCCATGGGTCTGGATTCAAATCCCAACTCCTCCACTTACTGGTCCTGAAGCCTGGGCAGGATATTAAAGCCTCTGTACCTCCCTGTACTCAGGTGTAAATTGGGGCTAATAATAGAACCAACCTCAATGGTTGTGGAGATTAAATGAGCTAATGAATAGAAAGTGCTGAGAATTACACGTGGTCCACAGCAAGCACTCAATAAACCTTTGCAATTATTGTTATTACATCTGCCACCACTTCTGGTATGTATTTAAATATGTTTTTAGATCTATACACTCCTCATGGGTTCAAATGTATTTATCCTAAAATTAAATCACTACCCTAATTAGAAAACCAGTCCAGATAGTCACAAATAACAGGTGACTATAGACATAAATGCATAACTACCAAATAGAAGCAGCTCCTGCCCCACTCATGGGAGGCTGGCACCCTTTGGGAACATGGAATTCTAGACCAAAGGAAGCAGGCTCAGAAACAAGGACAGACAAGGTGGGGTCAGGGCTCAGAATCCTGGGGTATGGACCAGCCCAGGTCTAAACCAGGCTCATGATGCTTCAAGCATATTATGAAAGGGCCACTGAGAGATGCCAAAGCAGACATCTAAAATATCCCTATTTCCCTCTCACCCAATCTGGTCCTCATCAAGCAGGTTACAGTTAAGGTTGGAGCTAGGGTTATACTTAAAGCAACCCTTTGGTACTGGCTCTGTCCATAGAATAAATCAACTCCCCTGAGCCTCAGTGAACCCCACCTGCAAAATGGACATAATAATGTCCACCTCCCCGGGTTACTAAGAGTATCAGGTAGGATAAAGGCAAATGCATGTTGTGGCTTTCCAAACATTCAATAAACAGCCCTGCTCACCATCCGGCCTTTTCTAATACTAAGAATTACTCTGTGGAAGCTTTTCATCACTAGAGTGAAAACTATCTCATTCCCATGGAACCATGAGAATATATAATCAGAACGCTCTTTAGAAGGCCAAGAATGAAGGGATGTTAATTTTACCACTTTTAGGTAATTGTTCTTCTCTTCCCCTCTTGCACTTGAAACCTGGGCTCCCATTTAAAAATACTTCAAACCTTGAGCTTGAATCACAGTATGAACTTCAAGTGACAGGCTCATAATGCAATTAGAGCAGCTGCTTATTATCTCCCATTATTGAATAATATGTTCATTAATAGCTCTTCTCTTCCTTTGCCATATTCCCCTGCTAAAAATAAACATAAACACCAAGACCCAGGATGACTGAGAGCTAAACTTGACCACAAGGTGGCCAGTAGCAGTACCAGGGGAGCTGAAGGCCGGCATGTGGTGGTCATGACCAAATCCATCCTGGGGCCACTCCCTGACCCACTGGTCAGAGATCATTACGGGCCAGGCCACAGGAAGACAATGAGAAATGAAAGAACTGTGCATGTTTTATCCAACATCATCCTCACCTTTCCCCTGCAAACCAGCTACTGTTACCTTGTATCCCCTTTCACAGATGAAGAGACTGAAGCGCAGAGAGATTCCTTGACTCATTCAGATCACATATCAAGAAAATATCAGAACCAATAAGAAAGTTGCTGTTCTGTCTGACTCCATCACAACAAATCTAGGGCTTTAAAGATCTTTCCATGCCTCCCTCTGATGGGTAGCCTTTCTTCATTTCATAAATGTGCGTGTGCCTGTGTGCATATCCTTACCCACAAAACAGGTAATCGTCCATCTCACCTTCCTCTTTCCCTTTCCCCTTGTCTTGGTTACTTTTGTCTCCTTCCTGAGACAAAATACCTGATGCCCAAAATTAAGGAAGGAAAGGTTTATTTAGCTTACAGTTTGTGGAGGTTTCAGTCTATAATCAGCTGGCTCCAAGGCAGGGTGGCAGGGCACGGGGGCAACCCTTCAAGATGACACAAGACAGCAAAAGCAGCAAGAGCAAAAAGGGAGGAG